CTATTGTATTGAGATGGAGGGAGTATATAACACTAACTTAAAACTCCTTTATTTCTTTCTTTCCTTAAATAAATAAATATTTTTATTTACATTTAAAACTCCACACTTTTTTAAAAAATAATTTATCTTAGTTATAAATAAATAAATATTTGTATTTATTTGTATTATTTAAAATTTTATTCTTTACGAAACGATATTCATATTGCATGTTTTATTGAGATATAATATTTAAAATATTTAAAAAATTTATTTTAAATTATAAAAATAAAAATTTGTTTAAAATAATAAAAAAAATTGAATATTTGAAGAATAATAGTGAAAAATAGAGTTATGATTGGAGTAAAATTACTGTAGCAACTGTATATTTAAAGTTAAAAATTGGATAAATAGAGTTGATAGATTGGGGATGAACTAAGTAGTATATCACATTCAATATTCAAGTTTGTAATGTATTTAAATATTTTCAAATTTTCAAAACTCGTAAAAATTTTAAGTTGGCGTTTCATCAATTAATTTGAACCCACATGTAGAAGATTGTTTGTGAGATGTGATTTGAATATAAATTTTTTTAAATAAAAAATTAAGTAAAATATTTAAAATAAAACAGGACTTAGATATTTTAAATAGATACTTGTAAAAATAAAAAGCCCACGCGGTATAATTGTTGGATGCACCCTGGCCTCCGACACCCAATGAATCTAAGCAATTGATTTATTTGGATTGGTGCCGGGGTCCATGGAGCTCCCAGCATACATCACTAATGTTAAAAGTCATTAAGTCAGTGCATGCATGCTTTATCTACTCTTGAAAGCATAGAATTAGTGACGCTTTGTTGGGAGTTCCTAGGAGCTCTGGTCCAGGTGAATAAAAAGAGTGTTTTTTATTTTTTTTTAAAAAATTTTTATTAATATTTTTTTTAATAACGATTTGTTTAGGGTTTAGATTTTTATTTTGTATTCTAATTTAAACAGTATTTTAATATGATATTTTATAAAAAAAATATTATTTTCTTTGTCTCAACTCAATATAATTTTTTTTTTTACCATTTTACATTTCATACTAAAAAAATATCTATTTTCTATTATAATAAAAGTAATTCACATACAAATATAAACATACTCTTAGATTTTATAAAAATTTTTATTTAATTTTCTGTAATTATAATGAACAAATATTAAAATTATATTATATATTTCTACTAATTAATAAAATAATATTATTTTAAATTCATTAAAAAAATAAAAAAATATATATATTTTATTGAAAATCATAGGTATAAATTTTTATTTGAGATGTGATCTTGATTGTTAATTAATAAAATAAATTGATATAATGATAATTGTATAAGAGGATATGGATTGAATGTGATTTTTTAAAAATACATATATTTTTAACTAATATTATTCTCAATGTCAACACTATATATAGATCTAATACACAATTGTGTTGATCTATAAACTATAGTAATAATTAGCATTATTATTATGATCAATGCATCCACTTAACATTATGCATATTAAAAGATTATATATTTATTTTTTATTTTTTATTTCTTATTTTTTTGTTCCTACAAAATTTAAAGATTTTTTTTTTTAAAAAAAGAAGAGGTGTGATTAGCCCTCCAAAATGGAAGGAATGATTGAGGTAATAATTGAGATAATTAACCTTCTAACCACTTAAAATTATTTTTTATTTTTTCAAAAAATAAAATAAAATTGGAGAAGATGAATCAATTACAGTAATTAATTGATGTAAAAAAAAAAAAGTAACTTTTGCACCATCCAAAGTCTTTGATGAAATAATGAGTGATCACAATGAAGAATATTGATGATATAATATAATATGAGAAGAAGTATAATCAAGTATGCACCGTGCGCATTTGGGCCCCAATTGCAAGAAAATGGGTAGGGTCGTCCATAATATGGGGCCCCTCTTGCCCCTTTTGGACACATGGATATATAGTGTTTTATTTATTATTTATTATTTATCTATTACATAAATGTTCGTTTATTATTATTATTTTTTTTATAGTATTAATATATGATATATTTCTCAAGTCTATTTAGGAAGTAAACATTTATCTTTTAGCATGGAATTTAAGTTATGTTTGGTACAGAGAAATGAGGCCAGAGAAATGGAAGTGGTATCATTTGTTTTGTTTGTTTAAGTCAGATAAATAGAACTTGAGAAATAAATCATTTCTCTATTTTCATTTCTCTCACATATACAAAGAAACGGAGATAAATGATGTTGCAGTTTATTTATTTTTTTAATTTTTAATTTTTTTTACTATTTAATTTTTATAATTTTTTTAAAATTATATTAAATCAAACTTAATTTATTTTTAAAGTATTTAATTTTTACGATATTTTAAGAAATTGTACTAAAATATAATTTTAAAAAACATCGTATATAATTTATAATTTTTTTTTAAAAGAATTTAGTAAAAATATTTTTCATGAATTCTCATTCGTTAAAACTCTATTTTTATCGGATTAATCATTTATTTTTGTTTGATCATTCGTATATCTGCATTTTTTTAGAATTTTCAAATAAATTATCTCGTTTATCAAATAAGAGAATTAATTCTCATTCTCTACTCAATTTCATATCTCTCCAATTCCATTCTCTGTAGCAAACGCCCCCTTAGTTAATATTATATATTTTAATAATAGTCGGTGGTAGTTTTAATATACAAAAATTATGTTACTTCTATAATATGTAAGATTAATGTAAGTTTATTGATTTAAATAAGTATAAATTTTAGGTAATGTGCAACTAGTCTATACATACTAAAAATGAAAATAAATATTTTATGTTTGGACAGCTAAAAATATCAAAATATAATTCCTCTGTCTCAAATATATTGGACGCATTAAAAAGTGCATTAGTAAAAATAATTATTGTATAATAAAAATAATTATAAATGAATATTAAAATAAATAAATAGTTTAATTAAAATAAAAAAATTATAAATTATAAAATTTAAAATGTAATTAAAATATATAATTGTATTTTCAATAAATAGTTTGAATAGAATTTCAAAAATTAAATAAAAAAGGCATAAATAAACAAAAATATTATTATTTTATTAGTGTTCTTTTTTAGTTTAAATAGTTGATATAATATATCTTGAAAATTAATATTTAGTAATTTTTTTATAAAGAATAGTAAAAGTAAAAAATAAATAGCAAAGAAATTAACTAAAACAAAATATTATTATGTAGTAACATTTGTGTTCGCTTTGCGTTTTTTTAACGTGAATAATATCAAAATTAATATTTTGTATTATATATTGTGTGAATATATATATATATATATATATATTATAATATTGATCACAAATCACCTCACTAAAAAATTGTTGAATGAATATTAATCTATTTATAATTTGTTTTCAATTTTTTAGCATTCAACTATGTTTAGATTTTTATAAAAATACTCCCTCTGTTCTACCATGTCCACGTTGCCGTTTCTGTCCGTCCCACATATCATGTCATTTTTTTTTTTTAGAAAATAATTACACACTTTAATTTCATTTTAAAATTTTTAATTTTTTTTTAAATTTTAATTAAACTAATTAGTTATTTTAATCTTAATTTATAATTATTTATATTATAGGATAATTATTTTCACTAATACATTTTTAATTATCTACTAATTATACCCTTCTTAAAATACCGTGTCTACAGTGTAGCAGTCGCGGTATATATGACGCTGATAGTAATTTTTGTAAAGAATTACGTCAAAACTACTATTCAACACACTATTAGGAAAATACAACATATGTTTGGTAAAATTAATAATTAGTTTGAAAAGCTGACGTGGCATGCTAGATAATAAAGGTATGTATGTATGTCTTAAGAAGAAGGTTCCATTCACATCATTTGACCTCAAAATGAGGGCCACTTTTTGGTGTCTTGTAAGAGAGTCTTCGCCACTTGGCAGTCATCACTTGCTCTTTTTATTAATTTCTTTTTCTCCTTTTTTCTTAATTCATTTACCAAATTAAATATTTCTTTCGTCCCGGTGATAGGTTGCCATTTATATTTTACATATAAATTTTTTAATATTAGTATTATAATATATTGTAGTGAAAAAGACAAAAATACCTATATTAGTATTATATAATATAAAAATAATAACATTTGTGTAATATAGTGTAAGTTAGAAGAGTATTTATTATGTTTAGTAGGTAGTAAAATTGCTTCATTAAGAAATGGTAACCTTTTTTTAGACAGACAAAAATAAAAAATAACAACCTTTCAATGGGACAAAAGGAACAGTATTTCCTCCGTTGTGTAAAATTATATCTATTTGGTATGAGTTAAAAAAATAAAAAATATATATATGAGATAAAAAAAAAGAAAAATAACAATATTTTTACTAAAATGAAAATATAAATAAATTTCAATGATAATAAAAAATAATAAGAATAAATTTGAATAACATAAAAAATACTTATATCGTTCCAACTAAAATGAATTTTTTGTTATTATTTTATTTTTCTATTCAAATGTATTTATTTTTTATTATAGTAAAATTAACACAAATAAATACTAACTTTTTAATTTATTTAAATTATAAATATATCATTATATATATAATTAATTTATATGCATAAAAAAATCTTCTAACACACCCTCACACACCAATAAAATATTTAGAGTTGGGTGGAGAAAATATTTACAAAAACAAGTGTGTCCTTTTCGTTTGGTTTAATTACTTTTATTTTTTTAATTTAAATAGTAATTCATGTGTTATATTTTTGTAAATATATCTATATATATAATACTTTTTTTTTTTTTAATTAATTAATTAGCAAACCCTCCATCTGCAGAACCACTTTCCATCATTAGGGTTTCTCTCTCTCTCCTCTACCTCAACCTCTCTCTCTCTCTTCTTAGCCTTCTTCTTTATATGTGTAATTCTGAACAGCTCTTCCTTTCTTCTCTTGCTCATCAATCCCATTAATTCATTTCCACCATTATTACAAAAAAAAAAAAAGAAAGAAAGAAAGAAAGAAAATCACTGATTTAATTTCCTCAATCGATCAAGATCAGATCGAAGATCGATCGATCAATCCCTGGAAATATTGTTTTTATTATTTGAATCTGTTCTAATTTCTTGTATAGCTCTTGGAAGAATATCTTGGAGATCAAGCTGCAAAACATAAGTACTTATTGTCTGAGAAATCCAATTAGGGTTTGTACTCATCAGTCAATATCTGCCATACATTCATAAGGTTCGATTCTTTAACTATTTCCATCTCTTTCTGAACTTCAAATTCAATCATTTTATTACATATGCAATCTATACTAAGATTATATATATATATATGTATATATATATATATATTCATGCTCTTGAGGTTGAATAAATTCTGGTGTATCTTAAATATCCTGTTTGTAGCCAATCATAGATTCTTGGATTATAATTTGTTAAAATAATAATAATAATAATAATAATAATAATAATAATAATAATAATAATAATAATAATAAAACCCTGATCTTTAAAAAAAAAAAAAAAATTGTACTGAGATTTGACACTCGAATTTTCTAGAAGTGAATAAATGAAATTAGAAAAAAGAAAAGAAAAAGAGATGTGTGTATATTTAATTTGTCTGCCAAACTTGGCATGCCTGCACCCTTTCTTGTAATCACATGTAATTATTATTATTATTATTATTAAGTAATGGTCTATAGATGAATAGAGGGACCAAGTGATGGCAATTCCAATTAAATTTGGTCGCATGGATTAATTTTATCTCTATAAAAGTAATAATAATGTGACATGCCATAATTTTTACCCCAGCGCTGCACTATCAATTGTTCATCATCATTTCATGCATCCAAAATAAATCATAATTGTCATAAAAATAATACTCCTTTGTATCGGTGTAAGCTTGTCGTTTACTTTTTGTACGTAGATTTTTTAATATTAATATTATAATGGGTTGTAGTGAAAAAGACAAAAAATGCCCCTATTATTATTGTTTAATATAAAAGTAATGATATTTATGTAATATAGTGTAAGTTGGAAGGGTATTTATTACGTTAGGTAAGTAGTGCAATTATTAAATTAGAAAATGGTAACCTTGTTTTGGGACGGACAAAAATGAAAAATGACAATCTTTCAATGGAACTGAGGAAGTAATAAAAAAAATTAAGCATCGGAAAAAAAATCATAATTAATAATGCCACATATATTATCTCATCCGCATAGCACACCACCTACATACAATGTTGTTGTTCATTTTAGTTTTAGTATATATCCTCAAGATCTATTTGAGACTCAATAAATTGTCGAGCTATGATAGGAGTCAAAAAGTGCAAAGTGAACATTTTTATAATTAGTTAAAACACGATATTAGGACCCAGAAGGTACAAAATATAATTTTTCGTTCGTTTAAGTTAAATCGATACTAATCTTAATGTGAGGTATGGGCGAATTATAATTTTTTAAATGTACTTGTATCCCGATCCTATTAACTATCTAGTGTGTTTTTTTTTTTTTTTTTTTTTTTTTTTTTTTTTTTGTTAATGTAAATCCCTAATTTTCAAAATACTCCAATTATTATACTTGGATGAAATATATTTGTATCTCATGGTTATTATCATTGTTTGTTGAATTGTTATGAAGGTAGATTTGTTATAATAAGGATAGTATAAGTTAGTCCAACATATTCTAATGAACAAGAATAGGGTTTAGTTGCTTATTGGAATTAATCAGTGTGTTTGTTTGTTCGGGGGTTTAGATTTTGAGTCGAGATTTGAATAGTAAAAATTTTGAATTTGAATAGTTGTATGATGTGATGTTTTGAATGTAAAATTAATTTTTAGTATAATATAAAAAATAAAAAATAGGTATTTGATTTGGTGTTTTGGGGAGAAAGAGGGAGGAATGAGATGAATAGTGTATTAAAATCCAATCTCCCAAACAAACACACCCAAATTTATAAATTAATAACACATAAGGTATAAGCCGACAATATGACATGTATGTTAGCATAATACAAATATAACACATGAATTAATCATATATTAATCTCAGTATAAAATGTATATCAACACAGTACATAAGTAAGATATGAATTGTCATTACATCTCATGATAACAATTTACACATAGTTTATGTATTAATTAAATCATGTGCTAGCAGTTTATATTTTATGTACTATCAGTGTAGGACTTATTAATTCCTAATCAACCAATGAATATATATATATATATATATGCAGTCGAAAATTACATGTGCATTAAAGAGGAGTTTGGATCATAATTCAGTCGAAAATTTTCAGGTTTGTTGCTGGCTTTGGTAATAAAATCAGAAGATCATGAATACATCATTTGTAGAGCATGTTCCTCCCGGTTTTCGATTCCATCCGACGGATGAAGAACTTGTCGACTACTATCTCCGAAGAAAGGTTGCCTCGAGGCGCATAGATGTCAATGTGATTAAGGATGTCGATCTATATCGAATCGAGCCATGGGATCTTCAAGGTATCTCTATATATATGTATATATATATACATATATATATATGTATATGTCATAACTCACAAATTTATTACATCCTAAAAAATCAAGATTGACAAAGAAAATGAATTTTGGTTTTGTTAACTAGAGCTATGCAGAATAGGGACAGAAGAGCAAAATGATTGGTATTTCTTCAGCCACAAGGACAAGAAATACCCGACGGGAACTCGCACGAATAGGGCGACAACGTGCGGTTTTTGGAAGGCAACGGGTCGGGACAAGGCCGTGTACTCCAAGAATGAACTCATTGGCATGAGAAAAACCTTGGTGTTCTATAAAGGCCGAGCCCCGAATGGCCAGAAATCGGATTGGATCATGCACGAGTATCGCCTTGAGACCGACGAAAATGGAACCCCTCAGGTTTATCTTCTTTTTTTTTTTTTTAAAAAAAAATTAAGTAAGATTAAAATGATTAACTTTCGAACAAACTATTCATAGAATAGTGAATCAGGATCCTCAGCCCTCAAATTACTCGGCCCCGCACCCTCAAAACATATATTCCCTCTGCCCGCCAAATTTATTCTCACTTCCTTTTTAGTCGGTCAGCTAAATTTATCACATTATTAATTTTAGCAAAGTCAACAAATCAACATTTAATTATTACCCTTCATTCAACATTTATTTACAACAAATACCACTAACTTTATTATATTATCGCTCTTCATTTAATTTCATTTCTAACTAAATTTCCAAAAATACCTCCAACTACCTATCATTTTTATAATAAAATATTTATTTTTCTTAAACTTCGAGTTGGACCCAAATGAACTATTTTTAGTGGACGGATGGAGTAATATATAAGGAAAAGTGCTTTTTTAGTCTCGTAAGTATTTCTCTTTATCATTTTAGTCTAATAATTAGAAATTGTATAAAAATCATCTCGTAAGTGAATTATTTTGACACAATTGATCTTCCAGCGCCAGAAATGCACAGGTGACACTCCTCTAGCATGCCAAAGCACACGTTGAATGTTTTTTTTTAGTCTTGTAAGTAATTTTTTTTTTGCACCTACCTGACCATACGTGTGCTCTAGCATACCAGACGGATGCTCCGGACCGGAGGACTAATTGTGCCAAAAAAATTTAACTTACGAGATGATTTCTATACAAACTTCAATTATGAGACTAAAAAAATAATTTTTCCTAATATATATACATACATAAAAATATATATATATATGTAAGTATACATATACATGTCTAAAACTTTATCAAGTTTACCCAATTCCACACAAAATGTAATCTATTCGTACATTTTGTGTATGGGACTGGGTAACACTTACCCAGTTTTAGACCGAGGATTCTTTTCCGATATTATTATGCATACAATTTTTTGTATGTATAGGCTATCGGTACACAAAATATATGGGATTGAGGATCCCCTAGCTCGAATAATAATAATCCGCTAAAAATATGTTCAATGAATGTAGGAAGAAGGATGGGTCGTATGCCGAGTATTCAAGAAAAAGTTGCCGACAATGAGGAAACTAAACGAGCACGATTCGCCTTTATGGTTCGACGATCAACCTTCCTTTATCCCAGAATTGGATTCGCCCCCGATGCAAAACAACTATTCTTACACTTCATGTAAGAAAGAAATGGACATGAAGTATGGTAATAATAACAATACTATTCCACATGATCATCACTTCCTCCAACTTCCCCTTCTAGAAAGCCCTAAAATTTTCGATGTCTCCGGGGACCAAATTTCGTCGTATCCTGGGATAAACCCGAGTGAAGAACAGTCTTTTTCCGGGATTCCATTGATGCTAAGGAACAATATCGAACGTTGCTCGGATCAGATGACAGATTGGAGAGTTTACGATAAGTTTGTCGCGTCGCAGCTCTGTAGCCAAGAAGAGATGTTGAGGGAAAACGACGAGGAATTCTCTGGGGCCATTGAAGATTCGATTTCAAGAAGTTTCAATAGGCAAGAAAATAATGTGTCCGAATTCGCAGCATTCTTTGATTTGCAGGATTGATCATCGAGTTGTGAAAGTTAAGAAAAGAGATGCATATGTGCTTATATATCCGTAGAATTAAGGGGAGATTTATAATTGCTTCATATGTTCTTACAAGAGATTTATATATATATATATATTGTTGTAAATAATTATAATGTTGAGATTTATATGTAACCTAACTATTGATCTGATTGCATGATGAGATCTCCAAAATTAGGGTTTTTACAGCAAGATATATATATATATATATATATATATATATATATGTATGTATGAATATATGTTTGAATTTGCACACACATGTATCTATTACTACATTATAATTATGCCATTGTGCTATTGATCGATTTTGTTGTTAATAAGAAGTCTTGTAATATACCATTGTTGTGTATTGATAAAATTATCTTTTAAATTGATTTGCTGTAATTCATGTATATATTGATGTCTTATTCATTAATTTGGTCTTTTAATAAATAAATAAATAAATATCTTGAAATGAGGAAAAACATACACATATGGACTTTGTTTTGTTTTTACTACAAAAAATTAGGAATTTTTTATAATAATTATTTCACAGAAAAATTACACGTATGTATATATATTTCAAATACTATATATTAAGTGAACAACCGGAATGTATTTATTTTATTATTTCATTTAATGTTCGTAATATATGTTACTATTTTTACTATAAAATTTCTATATATATATATATATATTTTTTTTTATAATAACTATTTCACTCAAAATTATGTATGTAAGTATGTATATTAAGTGAACAAGCCTACAATGTATTTATTTTAATATTTCATTTTATGTTCGTAATATATGTTACTAATTTTTATTTTAAATATTCTATTGATTTTTTTATATATATATAAATAAAACAAAATACGACACTCAAAAAATGATCGACTCGACGTACAAAAACCAACCTTTTGTTTGAGTTTAGTTTTGAATTTTGGTTTTGGGTTCTAATTTAAACAGTAGTTTAAAGGTGATGTTTTTGTAAGAGCTAGAAATAACATATTTTTAAAAGGAACACAATTAAAATTTGAAATTAAACTTCAAAAAATATATAAAAACTATTATTATAAATGGGTTTTCAATGATCAAAATTTAGACCCTCACACACACACACACACACAAATATATATATATATATATATATTGACTATTTGGATTTAGGGTTTTGAAAAATAGCATAAGAAAGGGTATATCAAAATAATACCTAATTTAAATGATCAAAAAAATTACATTTAATATAAACAATATGTGGACAGAAATATATCTCAGATCTAACATCAATGACTATTAATTACTCCCTCCCTCGTGCAAATGTGTGTTCATTTGATCGGACACTAATTTTAATAAAAGTGAGTAATAATGGTTATATTTTTCTTTTATAGTAAAAAAAAGTACAAAAATGTAATAATTTTTTACTTAAAAAGAAAACGAGAATATTTTTCAATGACAATCCAAAAAGAAAAATGAGCATAGATTTGAATGACGGAGGGAATACAATATATCGAATGTCCAAATCCCAATTAAACATATTTCGAACGATGAATAGAAAAAAATCTATCGATTTATTAGTACTGGATCCAATCCCTTGGCACCAATTTCCACAATTCAGTTCGGTAAAGATTTTCAAACGATCAAAAAATAAATAAATAATGAAATGTGATGAAGATCAACAAGCTTCGGACATTGCAATTGTGTCTGTGTTCATATATAGATACATACAAAAGAATATATATATATATATATACACATACATACCTACATATGGTTGATCAGGAAATGATCCGACGGCGCTAAACACCATTAGCTGCAGCAAAAAAATCACAATATAATTCCATATGTATGTATATATATATATATGTGCGCGCGCGCGCATAAGAAAGCAAAGCGATGTGTGTGTATATATATATATAGAGAGAGAGAGAGAGAGAGAGAGAGGGGGAGAGAGAGTGAGAGAAAGAGAGAGGGAGAGAGAGAATTGATAGATGAATGTTTTTTAAGGTTAAGATTTAAGTTTTAAATTTTAAAATAATAAAAAAAATTTAATTAAAATAGCATACGATAGGGTTTGTTTTTTTTTTTTTTTTTTTTTTTTTTTTTTTTTGATAAATTTGAAAAAAATTTGATTTGAATTTGGTATTAAAATAATGTAAGATGAGATGTTTTATGAAAGAAAAAAATGTACTCCCTCCGTCCCGGTGGTGTTTGCTTTTTACACGTAGATTTTTTAATATTAGTATTATATTGGATTGTAGTAAAAAGACAAAAATACCCCTATTAGTACGGTGTAATATAAAAGTAATAATATTTGTGTAATATATTGTAAGTTGAAAGAGTATTTATTATGTTAAGTAGGAGTATAATTACTAAATTAGGAAATTGTAAACTTGTTTTGGGACAGAGAAAAATGAAAAATTGTAACCTTTCAATGAGACGAATGAAATATTTTTTTTTAAGAAATGCAGAGTCTAAATTGTATAAACTTGTGGATTGGGGTGTAAAGAAACACACCCTATGTTTTACTAGCATATAATTGTTGTAATATTTTGAATAAAAACTGATTTTTTCGATAATATATTAAATAAAATTTTAGTACTCTTGTGTAAGCTTGATTAAGGTAAATTAATATAGATATGTAGTATAATAAAGTAGTCTAACGTGTATTTTACTTTTGACATTAAAGTAAAAGTAATGTAAAAAATAAAAAGTAAAAGTAAAAGTAATTTGATATTTAATTTATGGTAATTTTACTATAAAAAAAAATAATTTTGAGTTGTACAAATTAAAATGAAAGATTTACTATTTGACAAAAAAAATATATATTTGATTTTATATTTTTAAATGGATCTTGCCTTTTAAATAATCAAAGTATTTAAAGTTGGTGTTTTTTTTTTTTAAGTACTGTACAATTATTATGATTTTGATATAATATATCTATTTTTGCCTCAATTCCATATATCTTTCGATTATTTTTGTCTATTTTACTAAAAAATATCAATTGGTTTTATAGTAAAAGTGATCTATATATAAATATTATAAAATACCTATAAGTTTTATAAATAAAAAAAATATTTCTTTTTGTATTGAGTAAAAAAATATCAAAATTATTTTTACACACTTACAATAACAAATACTCCTCCGTTTTAGTATTTGTTAGATTATTTTCGTTCGTGAAACTTCAAAGTATCTTTCTTATTTTTTTTTTTAAAAAAGTAATTATATAATAATAATATCTTTTAATTTTTACTTAAATTACAAATATACCATTACACATACGATTACTTTACACATAAAAAATCAAAGAGCAAAAATATCAAAACCTCTTGCACAACTCTACTCACCAATAAAATATTATTATTTTTTAATTTATTATAAAATTCCAAATGATCCACTTGAAATGAACCAAGTAAAATTCTATTGTTTTTATCGGTTTGTTTGGGGGATTGGATTTTAATATAGTATTCATCCTATTTTTTTCCCCAAAAAACATCAAATCAAATACCTATTTTTCATTTTTTATATGATACTAAAAATTAATTTTACATTCAAAACATCATATCATACAACTATTCAAATTCAAAATTTTTACTATTCAAATCCCAACTCAAAATCCAAACTCTCAGACAAACACACACTTAACACAAAGTACACAATACAAAATCATATACTCCTATATTCATATGTCCATAACTTATTATACTTACTCCGCCTCTCAACAATCTATCAATATTTTCATTTTGGTCCGTCTCATAACAAAGTATTCATTTTTTTTTTTTAGTAATTGTACTATCTGTCTAACATTATAAATACCCTTCTAATTTACAATATATTACACAAATGTCATTATTTTTATATCATACAATACTAATAGGGTTAATTTAGTCTTTATATCTTTATTTTTACTTTATCCCAATATAATACTAATATTTATAAAACTCCGTGTAAAAAGCAAATGGATATATAGATACAAGACAGAGGGAGTATATATATATAGAGTAAACTATTTTTTTAGTCCTGTAACTGGACCCCCTTATCATTTTAGTCCCGTAAGTGGAGCATGTCGCAAACTAGTCCCATAAGTGAAAAATTTTCGCTGTTTTACTCCTCCGGCACCGGAGACGCCCGCGTGGCTCGCTGGAGGTGATGTGTCCGCCAGGTGTCCCGCCAGGTCAGCGACACCTGATGGACACGTGGATTTATTTATTTTTTCAATTTTTTTTATTTTTTTAAAATTAAATCAAATTAAAAAAAATTGAAATATAAATAAAATTAAAAATAAATTAAAAATAAGTTTTTTAAAAAATTTAAAAAATCCACGTCTCCGCCAGGTGTCGCTGACCTGGCGGACACGTCACCTCCGGCGAGCCATGTGGGCGTCTCCGGCGCCGGAGGACTAAAACATCGAAAATTTTTCACTTATGGAACTAGTTTGCGACATGCTCCACTTACGGGACTAAAATGATAAGGGGTCAAATTACGGGACTAAAAAAAAACATTTACCCATATATATATATATATATATATATATATATATAACGAGAAGCATGCTATGCACGCGCAAGAGCAGGCATGATAGATGGTGTGTACATATATACATAATTAAGGCCTGCCTGTGACAAACAAACATCAACTTACTACATCATTAACACCACCAAATTCTTCATCTCTCAATAAACAATTTTAATAACTTTATCACATATTTTTATTTAATTAATTAATTACTCAAATACCACACATCATACATAGATAAACATTTTTATTTTTATTATTTTTTTAAATAAAAATCTCAATCAATTAATATTCAATTATTACATGACCAAAAATCCATCTAAATGCGATCTTGTTTGTCGGATGGTTTTGATTTTGGACTTTGATTTTAAAATAGTAGTAAAATTTTGAATTCGAATAGAGAGTTAATGTGATATTTTGAATATAAAATTAATTTTTAGTATGATATAAAAAATAAAAAATAATTATTTAATTTAATATTTTTTTTAAAAAAAAATAATTCTCAATAGTAAAAATCAAATCAAATCATCCAACGAAAATACAAAACTAGGCCTATTAGCCTAGGCTACGACTCTTTTACTCAGTGACGGAATCAGTCTTCGAACTTCTGGAGGCTGCATTTTTATCGATTTGGCTTTGTCTTTATTGACTCTTTTTTTTGCCATAATAATAATAATAATAATATAGTAAAGTGATTTGGAAAAAAAGAAAGGATTAGCATAATTAATTATATATAAATATATATATATATAAAGATTATATTTACTAAGATTATATTTACTAAGGGTGTGTTCGTTTCAAGGATTGAATTTTAAATAAATTATTTATCTCATTTTTTTTTTTTTAAAAATATCAAATCAAATATCTATTTTTCATTATTTATATTATAATAAAAATTAATTTTACATTCAAAACATCACATCGACACCTATTTATATCACATCATACAACTGTTCAAATTTAAAATTTTTACTATTCAAATTCAAACCCTCAAACAAACACACCATAATGTATTTCCTACCATTTATATATGAATATATAATGTTTTACAAATACGCCCACAAAATTATAACCTATATATATATATATATATACGCTCAACATTTGATCAAATAAGTCCGTTAAATTTAGGTCATTATTAATTTTGACAAGTCAAAATTTTAATATTTAACTATTATTTTTTTATTTAAAATTTATTTATTACAATTGTCGCTACTTTTTGTTATATTTTAATTACTAACCAAATTTTTAAAAATACTCTCAAATATCTTTTTATTTTTATTATTTTTTTAAGAAAATATTTATTTATTTTAAAAAATTTTATATCGGATCCAAATGAGCTATTTTAGCAGGACAAGACGAGTATATTACTCACTTCGTCCACCTATCATGTTCATATTGCCGTTTCTATTCGTTCCACGTTTCAAGTCACTTTCCTTTTTTTGAAAAATGATTATGCATTTTAATCTAATTTAAAATTATTTAATTTTAATTAAACTAATTAGTTATCTTAATTTTAATTTATAATAATTTATATTATAAATTAATTATTTTTATTAATACATTCTTAATTATTTTTACTAATATATTTTTAATTATCTACTAATTATATTTATTTTAAATTCTACGTTAACCTAGACTTTTAATATGGGACGAAGGGAGTATATACACTACAAAAAAATAATATATTTGTAACGGAATTTCGTCCCTAAAGTTCACGTAGCTAACGTAATTCCGTTCCTAATTTCCGTCTCTAATGTCATTAGTAACTGAAAAAGTAAATTTAGAGAGAAAAAAATTTTATTACAAAAATAATTTTTTCTTGTAGACATATTATTCCCCATAATTCTTGGCAAAGCAACAACATAAATAAACAGGATCGATGAAATAATGATGTTTGCCTGTTAGATAGAGAGCCTAAAAGGAAGACAAGGCCTGCTGTTCCCTGTCCCTCTCTCACTCCATAATTATTTATCAACATATTAATACTGTCATGCTATTATATATGAGTTTGTTTACTTTTTGTTTTTAGATACTTTCACTGTTTGTCGATGAATTTTTTATTTGATTTTTCAAGCAAATTAAAATAAATTAGTATTATATATATATATATATGATGTAATAAAATAAAAATAATATAAAAAAGTAAAAAATAGAAATATTTTGATATTTAGATAAAAATTATTTTTTTTTAAAAAAAAATATTATGTTTTGATTTAGATAGACTAAAATAAGAAACTAAAAAGTTTACTAATATATATATCATATATATTAAGGTATAAGGTAAACTGTTTTTTGTCCCGTAATTGAACCCCATATCATTTTAGTCCCGTAAGTAGAGTATGTCGCAAATTAGTCCCATAAGTGAAAATTTTTCGCTGTTTTAGTCCTCCGGCGCCGGAGACGCCTGCGTGGCTCGCCGGAGGTGACTTGTCCGCCAGGTGTCGCTGACCTGGCGGACACGTGGATTTTTTTAATTTTTTTAAATTTTTTTAAAACTTATTTTAAATTTATTTTTAATTTTATTTGTATTTTTTTATTTCGTCCAATTAAAAATAAATAAATAAATAAATAAAATGAAAAAATAAATAAATCCACGTGTCCGCTAGGTCAGCGACACCTGGCAGGACACCTGGCCGACACGTCATCTCCGGCGAGCCACGCGGGCATCTCCGGCGCCAGAGGACTAAAACAGCGAAAATTTTTCACTTATAGGACTAGTTTGCGACATGCTCCACTTACAGGACTAAAATGATAAAGGGGTCCAGTTACGGGACTAAAAAACCAATTTACCCTAACATATACTCCCTCCGTCCCTTGACAATCTATCCATTTTTCTATTTTGGTCCGTCCTATAACAAAGTATCCGTTTCCTTTTTTAGTAATTGTACTATCTACCTAACATTACAAATACCCTTCTAATTTACAATATATTATACAAATGTCATTACCTTTGTATCATACAATACTAATATGGTTAATTTAGTCTTTTTACCTTTATTTCTATTTTATCCCAATATAATACTAATATTCCTAAAAATCCTGTGCATAAACAAAATGGATAGATAGATTGGAGACGGAGGAAGTATTTTATACTTTACATCAATTGTATATATGCTACAAGCTCATACTATACATTTATGATATACTACCAAACACTTTGTATCGAATCCATAATGACATATGGTGTGTGTTTGGATTATTATCATTATATACTATTAATTTATTGTTTTGATTATCGTGTTGATTGAGCTAAATCACTAATTTGATTCAGTCATCACATTTTTATAAAGAGACCAATACATATTAATAATATATTATATAATTATGTATAAACTCAATCAGTATATTTAATATAATATATAACACATATTTTGATCGCACATTATATAATTATATGTAACACGATATATTATTATTTTATAACAATAGCACAATAAGTAAATTATACAGAACAATACAATATATAACCCTATGTCTGTCTTGTTATGAAATGCTAATTATTTCAAGGTTGTGTGCTAAGTTGATTATATGTTATTTGCCGTATAATGAAATGATAGTTGTTTTATGTTAGTTTCCTAACTAGATCAAATAAGCACCTGATTTGATCCAGTCAGCACCCTAATCGCCACCGCTAGTTCATTCTATACATTTGTATCTATTAACACATCTTATATTGAAATCAATAATTGTATGAACGGTTCGAATATTACCGAATTATGTTTATTCATATCATGACATGTATTAGCATGTACTATATAAATTATTATTATATATTGTCGATTTATGCTATATATATTTTTATTATATTAATATGCACTTTATTCTAAAATCAATCGTGAAATATATATATATATCAATTGATATTGATTCGGTTATAGTGTTGATTAGATTAAATCAACAGTGTTGTTAATTTGACCTACTTAATACATGTATATAGTACAAACAATACATACATACTTTGACAACATTGATATAATTTCATATAACATAATATGAAGTATCATTTATTTCAGCACAGACCACAATACATTACATAACATACACAACACATACTTCAATATAATACAATATATTATTGTGTTATACTTCGTCCGTTCGCTTCTAATGGTCACATTTACCTTTTACGCCATTGTACTTAATATTAAAAATATTTTTATATTTGTATTATTATTATTATTATTTTTTACAAATGTCATTTTTCTATTAGTATTATAGACACTAATTAAAGTATTTTTGCAATTTTTTCATAATTTGTATTACGCTTTGATATACTACATAATTACTATTCAAATATTAACACGCATAAAATAAATAAAACCTTTAGAGTCGGACGGAAATAATATAAAAAATCACCGTTTATCTTTATGTATATAAAGACTCTTGTCAAATCACTATTGATTTGACCTAATCAAGATAATAATCACCGTAGCCTACTCATCAATGTAATCAATCAAAATCAAAACCAGTTCCTAAGGGATGGCTTGGTAGTTGTAAAGGTTGGACTTATAATCACGAAGTTATGGGTTCAAACCCACACATGAGGATTTATCCAGTGCGCACTTTCGAGTAACGGCTGCTGATTTCCACGTCATACATAAAAAAATAAAAATAAAAATCAAAACCAAACTTATATTCTTTCTTCGATCATGATTGTCAAGAAAATTCCATCAACCAAATAATAATTGATAATTCCATCAACCAAATAATAATTGATAATAATAATAATAAGAACAAGAAGAAACAAGACTTGACCATTCATTACAAATCGATCATAGTACTATATAATATATATATATATATATATATATGTTGTCTTTGTTAGGGCATCCATCCTTGGTGCATCCCATCCCAAACCAAAATACAGGAACAAGACAAGAAGCTCTTAACAAAGAGCCTTTCTTTGCGCACCTCTGCTCCCTAACCTTAACCTTAACCTTACACACCAATCTTATCTTATAAATAACGAAAATATCCGCAATAAATAATAGTAATATCTAAAAATAACCTTCGACACCATCTTATGATGCAACGAAATTTTACTAATTAAGAGAAAACCACAAACTTTCTCGAATCGAATCGTCGTCATCAAGCGCGCTTGTTGTTCTTCCATTTCACGAGGGACATAAGGAACTCCATTACCTGCAACCACGATTTTATTACGAAAGGCTCATCGAATTTGCTACGTGATTTTTTAGATTATCCATTGTGTAAGAGATACGGATGGATGGATGGATAGGAAAAAACCGATACCTCGGAAGGGTCCTTGAGAGAGTACGATGCGTTGCTTTCTTTCGGGACGTTAGAAACGATGATGCCATAACCTCGATTGCCTTCTCGCAGAACCTGATGCAGTCGATCGTAATTTTGTTAAGGTTTCTATTCTTGTAATGAAAATGAATGTAATGAAATAACGAAATTTGAGACTACCTTGAATGCATCTTCATCTGTCCGATCGTCTCCAACGTATATAGGAAGAACGTTATCGCGAACTGTTAGCCCTGCATACATACGACATTAGTCGATTGTAATAAAAATTTTTGAAAAGTAATGTTAATGTCTTTACGCTCACCGAGAGATTCGAGTAGGAATTCGACAGCTTTACCCTTGTCCCAGTTGAGTACTGGTCGAACTTCCAAAACCTAAATCGATCAAAAGAAAACAAAATCAAGAATCGAAAAAAAAAAAAAGGAAAGTCCCGCAAGGCTGTCTACCTTCCGACCATGTGTCAACCTCAGGCGCGGATATTCTTTCAAAATTTGTTCGACAAATTGCCCGACTATTACCCAACTCTGCAACCGATGAAAGAGTTCGCTCGTTAGCGAACAACAACGATGTTTGTAAGAAAGATTGAAATCAAACATATAAAACGACGAGACTAGACAGACGACCTTTTCATCCACATTACGATAATGTACAGCGACGCAGAATTTGTTGTTCTCGACTTTTGCGCCGGCTATATCTTTCGTAACATCGATGAGGGACCTGTAAACCTGGTTTCAGACACAAAGTCGATTAAATGAACAAACGACGCTGCTCTAAAGGTTTTGCATTTAATTCGAGGCGATCCATACCTCATTGATCATCGGTAAGAATTCGCTCGCCGGCTGGAATAAGTTAACTTCCTTCGCCTGCGTACCACAAGTGAAGTCGTAAATTAGCCTAAGTTGAGATCATACAGACAAGAAAGATCTCTAACATCACTAACGCCTACCGGCAGCTTGTCTGTAGCCCTCATACGATGTCTGTAGTTGCCCAAAAATGGCCGTGCCGGTCCCATGATGTCCATCCCATGACTTCCGGCGTAATAAAGTTCGGTTAGTCCTACGAATTCATACACCTGCATCGAACCGAAACGTGAAATTTAGAAGATCGTCGTCGTCGTATCCGCAGATCAAGAACCGATATTACAGCAAGTTTTTCTACCTTGTCGCGGCTTCTTCCGCTAATTATAGCAGTGGGAAAACACGATGCCACGCTTCTAACAGCAGCGCGCATCTGGAAACAACAAAAGCCGTTCAATCGATAATATTGTTCTCATCGGGGAAAACCTTAATTTCGTAAAATTCTTACCGAACGGGACAAGAAAGCGTGATCGGGGTTGTCGACTATCGGCGATAACGTCCCGTCGTAATCCAAGAACAGAGCAATTTGCTTCCCCTTACCACCCATAACTATTTGCTCGAAAGAATCGAGCGCCGACGGATACTCGAGCTGCGGATTCACAAACAAGTTAAAAGATCCCTCTTTTGATTTTTCTCGATAAGATTCGATACAAACATAGAAAAGATCGATTAATTAACAAATGATACCGTCCAATTATGGTAAGCGACGTCGGCATCCGTCGTCGCATCTGTGCTCGACTCTTTTATTAGTTTATCGTGAGTCGGAGATGATAGTATCATTGCATCAAATAGGGTCGACCGAACATCGTCGATAATTCCAGGTTTTCTCCGCGGAATCGTTAGAATTGCCGACGAGAAGCTAGACCCGTTGTGTGAGTACGGCAGCAGACCCGAGTGGATGCCTAACCTCGTATTAGCCGAATCGGTAAGAACAGGGGACGTACGGTTCGATTTGAGCTCCATCGGTCAAGATTTTCACGGCCAAATTCAAAATCCAAACAAACAACCAAAACCTGACAGAAATTCGATCTAACCGACGGTTTTGTCGATAAAAAACCACTTCTTGAGGGTATACTTATCACTGCTACAGGGGAAGCTGTCCATCAAGGAGAAGACACCTAAATGCCGAAAAGAAGACATGAAAATCTAAGACATCATATGAAAGGGAAAATAAAAATTCGGGAGCAATCATAGTAGTCCTCGAAAATCCTACGCGTGCATCTCTCTTCAAAATCTTCGACTCGGGGATTCTTACCAACCAACGAAAACGAACTGCAGATGTCAAAGAAAGAGAGAACAGAGTCATCCATAATGCACTAAAAAAGTTCGATAACCCTACGCCTAATCGAGAAAATCAAGATCTATTACAGTCCATAAAAACATAAGATTCAGACATCAAGTTAGCACTCAAAACTCCTAGGAAACAGCCAGATTCGTCGTTTTTACTAACAGCAAAAAGAATCCAAACATCACATAATTTTGCAAAATCTCCTATCCTTAAAAACAAAGAAAAAGTTCTTACGCGCACAAAATGGATCGGCCTAACAACTTGAAAACAAAGTAGGAACTCTAATGGCGATGTAATAATATATATATATATATATAGGGGAAGAAGACGCAGCAGTTCTAACACGAAAAAGTTAAGCAGACACCGGCGGGCGTATAGCTGTAAAATTGATTATTAATTTATGCTAATTAGCAGATACATAGGAAATAATAGCATATGCAAAACCACATACATTATGGTCCTACAGAGGAGCATGGATTGTAATAAACATGGCGGCCCCAGCACAGAAACATTCAATTCAGAATCGAGATGCAACAAAACCATGTCATTCATGAAAGCAATTGAAAATTAAGGTGTCCCCATAATGCTGTTGCTATCAACATAAACATACATACATATATATATATATTATATGTGACCACAAGATATATATATATATATATATAGATATATATATAGATATAATAATTTTTCAGACATGTTCTATCCTGTGCATAATGTAATGTTATTACAAAGTAATTGGGGATTTCAAAACAAAGAAGGTAATCATACAAATTAACAACTATCCAACAGCTTGAAAATGACAGAACGCAGAGAAGATTATGTGATGAACAGTGAAATATCAATGGCAGACATAACTGAACCAAGAGTTGGAGTCTCTATCCTGAGATTAACAGAAATAACTGAAATTCAACGAAGACCACAGTGCTGTAAGAAAAAAAAAGGATCTCTGGTTAACCATTTTGCAAAGAGAAGAAAGAAATAAGAATAAGAAGAAGGAATTGTTCTATGAAAGCAATAGAAAGCAACTTCTTACAACCTCAGAAAAGAATGCCTAGATTTTGCATAAACACTAATGGCGTCGCTGAAAACGACAACGCAAAAAGCAATAATCACAAATCTGTATCAATCATAAACAGCAAGAAATAAAGAATCACACAATGTTATTGCATCTTCGTACAGAAACAAAAATCACCAAATCGCCGTATTACATAAGCGAAATCGAAACCCTAAAAAAAGGGGGGAAAAGGGGAAAACCGTGTAATAAATTTGCAGCGTCTGCGGTAAACCCTAGCGAGAGCAATTTGGGGAGATTTTGCTATAGGATTGAAATTGAAATTGAATAAATGTAAGAACGTGGAGCGACGAGACAAAGGCATTGTAATCAGAGTCAAAGGCTCGAAGAACAAGATTGGAGATGACGTCATTCGCGTCACGTTTTTGTGTTGGAAATGAAAAAGGAATCGCTGAATTTCAGGGTGAAAAGGAAACATGGGCTGGAAATGAATTTGCAGAGGGCAGAGGAAGACGATGAAGATGATGATGGGTGAGGGAGGCCCCCGGGGGGGTTTGGGGGGCTCGAATTTTGATTTCGATTAGTTTAAGATTAGATGTGATAATTATGAGGTAATTGTAATTAATTAATTAGGTGAGGAAAATCTTGGGAAGCCGCATAGAGACATCTGTGTGATTTGTCAGAGATGACGTGGCTGTGCTGGCAGTGGGCCCCGCCCTTGTCTAGTCATTTTCCATGCCAGTTTTGGAACCGGGGCCGGGACCTCGGATTGGACCAAAATGCTAAGGGTGTGTGTGGTTATTGGGTGGTTCAAGTTTGGTTATAGATTTTTGCTTATAGGTTTTGGATGGAATTATAGGGTTTGTTTGTTTTATCAGGGTGTGTTTCTTACGGTGGGTTTGAAAAATTTTTTGTTTAAATTTGATATTAAAATAATATATTATCAGGTATTTTTTTAAAAAAATACGAAATTTAAATATAAAAAACGCAGGGATTTTGGTGTAAAGAAAAGTATGCATTTTTTTAGGTGATTTACAAGAAATTATATAATAATTAATATAAAAATAACATTTTATATTAATATTAATTTTTTATAAAATAATAAAATATATTATCTCTGACCCAATTTAAAGAATTTTTTTAGAATTTTATAATATATTAAAAATAATATTCACTTTTAAATTGTTCATATTTTTCTTTGTAAAATATAGATATCCCAATGGGTCGAGTCTAGCCGAACCCGAGATCCGACCCGAACACACATGGTTGGACCCGAGATTCGAACTGGACTCGATTATAACCGGATTCGACCATACCCGAATTCGATCCGAATAATGCCCGACAAGATCCAATGGACCCGATTTTTTTTTAATTTTTAAAATTTAATTTAAAATTGGACCCGAACTCGGACCCGACATAAATTAAAAATTATATATTTTATGCAAAAATGTTGTAATAAAATAATAATAAATAAATAAATAAAACTAAAAACGTGTTTTTAATATAATTTATATTATTAAATTATATTTTTTTCATATATATAATTAATATATTAGTAATATATTAATCGGGTCCGAGTCGGGATAGGTCCATCATTGGGCCCGAGACCCGACCCGGACCCAATAAGGATACACAATACCCGACTCGGACCCGGACCCAATACTCGTATAATTGGACCCGATCCCAAATAAATGGGTCGGGTCCGAATTGAGTCTCGGGTCTATCCGAAACCTATTGTCACCCTGGTAAAATAAAAAGAGAACGAGAATATATTTAAATGTCTAAAAGTGCAAGGATAATATAAATTTTTCTTTTTTCTTTGGATGAATAGTTGGTTGTTGGTACATTATTTTATCATTTGCATCTAACTTTTGTGACCACCTCAGCCAATTTCAAAAGTTTTATTAGATTTTTATTATTCATAGAAAAATTTAAAAGTATTAAATTAAATAATTTTTAATTTTTTTTAATTAGATTAAAAATTAATTTGACATTAAAAATAATCATATTAATTATTGTTTATATTACATCATATAGTTATATAAATTCAAAATTTTATCATTTAAAATTCAAATTCATAAACAATATATATTTGTAACTTTCATTCTCTTTTATTGTATTTTTGAATGACTTGTTAGGCATCTCCAACTTATACATTCTATTTATAAAATTTCAAACACTCCAATTTATACATTCTATTTATACAATTTTAACTCCAAATATGAAGTTGCTATAGTATTTTTACTCCGGTCATAACTCTATTTTTTAAATATTCAATTTTTTCTATTATTTTATACATTTTTTTATATTTATAATTTTTTTAAAAAAATAAATTTAAAAACAAAAAAAAATATACATATGATGTAGGATTTGGTGCTGGGTTAGAAATGCCCATGTTCCACTATAATTGTCATATTTCATCCTTCACGATCGACATAGATTAATTTTGTTTTGTAAAATAATTTGAAGGAAAATTATTTGATATGAGATATAGAGAATTATGTAGAAAATACTCTTTTCGTCCCTTAAATAAGTATTCATTAAATTTTTGTACGTAGTTTAAGGTATATTAATATTATATTGATACATATTATGAATAAAGTAGAAATAACTAAAATAATCTTATTAGTATTGTATAATATAAAAATAATGACATTTATGTAATATATTATAAGTTGTAAGGATATTTGTAATATTAGGTAAACAATACAATTACTAAAATTGAAATAAATACTTTGTTAAGGACGGACCAAAATGAAAAAAATAAATAGCTTAATAAGGGACGAAAGAAGTATAAAATTAACGAATATGCGTGATATATTAATATTTTTAGAAAAACGTATATATATATATATATTTTAAAAAACAAACACACCCTTATTTCCTTATATCTGCATTTTTTGGCTGTGTATACTAATATATCATTGATTGGTCTTAAGTCGAAGAACATTAATTATTTCATGCATTTGGGTGGGTCGATTATTTTTAATTTATTTTTAAAATTAAAATTTTAATTTTATTTGCATTTTTTTATTTGGTCCAATTAAAAAAAAATAAAAAATTTAAAAAAATCCACGTGTCCGCCAGGTGTCGCTGACCTGGCAGGAGACGTGGCAGGCACGTCACCTCCCGCGAGCCACACGGGCGTCTCCGGCGCCGAATGACTAAAACAGCGAAATTTTTTCACTTATGAGATTAGTTTGCGACAGACTCCACTTACGAGATTAAAATGATAAGGAGGTCCAGTTACGGGACTAAAAAACAGTTTATCCTTTTATTTTTTAGAAAGTGATATATAATTATATTTTTAAAATTAATACATAATTTTAATTTTCGAAAATTGATATAATTTTATTTTTTTAAAAAAATGTGTAATTTTATTTTTTAAAAGTGATATATAATTTTATTTATTTTTATTTTAAATTATATGTAATTTTATTTTTTTAAAGTAATGTGTACTTTTATTTTATAAAAAGTTATGTATAATTTTTTATTTTAAATAGTTATTTGTCTCAGCATTTAATTATTTATCTAAAATTATTTTATTTGTAATAGTTATTAATTATAAATGCTAATTTTAATATATGTAATTATTAAATAAAATATAAATTATATGTGTATGGATTATAATGTAAAAATAATTAAAGTTGGGGTATAATTTATAAATATGAAAAATTATATAAAAGAAGTATAAAAGAAGAATATATAGGGAATATACTTTTTAGAGTAAAAATTAAAATTTATGATTGGAGTAAAAGTAGTGTAGATCAGCTGTATTTATACTGTAGCAACTGCAAAAATGGAGTGACGGGTTGGAGATGGCTCTAAATAAATACTTTCTCCCTAATTTAAATTTCTGCAAATTTTTTTGACAAAAATTTTAACGTAGGTATCTATATTTAATTATTTTGTTTATGTTACAAAAAATAAAATATATATACTCCCTACGTCCCATTGGAAGGGTGGTATTTGTTTTTTACACGTAGATTTTTTAATATTAGTATTATATTGGATTGTAGTAAAAAAGACAAAAATACCCCTATTAGTATTGTGTAGTATAAAAGTAATGGCATTTGTGTAATATATTGTAAGTTGAAAGAGTATTTATTATGTTAGGTAGTTAGGAAATGGTAACCTTGTTTTGGGACGGACGAAAATAGAAAATGGTAACCTTTCAATGGACGAAGGGAGTATAACTTTTATGAAAAAACTAACATAAATTTAAATAACAAATTAAACATATATATATATGAATTTTTAAGTTTTTCTTTTATTATTATTCTTTTAATGTTCATTGTGGGCAAATTTTGACCGGCCGTATAACCCATAACTAATATAGAAATACGTCGTTATAATGTTAGAAAAAGAATAATTTCGGTATGTTTGATTCTATTTTTAAATAATACTAGTATTTGTTATGTTATGTATAATATATAGTATTTTTCTAATTATAAATAATATCATATTAAAATTTATTTTTTATATTTATAAGATATTGAAAATAAATTTTGACACAAAATATTATATTAAATTATGATTTAAATTTTTAAATAATACTAGTATTTGTTATGTTATCTATAATAAAATTTATTTTTTATATTTATAAGATATTGAAAATAAATTTTGATACAAAATATTATATTAAATAATTATTTAAATCATTAGCGTTTGGGGAATTTGAACTCATGATCTCGTGATCACAAGTTCAACTAGCACACCATTAAATCATTTTTTATGAAACAAAAATCAATATTTTTGTTGTTCAACCAGTACGTTTTATTAATAAAAATATCTCTAATGCAAAAGTATCAAATTTAAAATATTATTTAAGACAAAATTTAAATTAATAATTCAAATTATAATACAAATCAAATAAACTATAAAACGCAATCAAACAAACTTTATTTATTATATATAAAAAAAAAAAAAAAAGTTAGAAATAATGGCCACTGAAGACCAATTGTGTTTTTGTTCACATATTCACACTCTAACTCTTTCACAATGTATAGATACAATGCCTCTATTTTATTACTCCCTTCGTCCCGATTATCGTGGTTTTTTTTACCGTAGATGTAGATATGAGAATTTAAAGAAATATAATTAGTAACTAATTAAAAATGTATTAATGAAAATATTTATCGTATAATAAAGATAATTTTAGATTAAAATTACAATAACTAATTAGTCTAATTAAAATTAAAAAATTTAAAATAAAATTAAAGTGTATACTTCTTTATTTCTTTAGAAGCGACAGAATAAGTGAGAGAGACGGTGATCCAGCCGCACCTTCCAGTACGGCTACCTTGTTACGACTTCACTCCAGTCACTAGCCCTGCCTTCGGAAAATAGAAAAATCGACATAGTAAATGGGATAGAGGGAGTATTTTATTATTACTTCTTTAACATTTTTTTATATATATAATATCATCCACTTTACTTATTACATACTTTATTTATATTAAAATATTGT